TTCCTTGATCTGAAGAAGCCCCAGTCACTTCCTGGGGACAAATTTTGCTTTTAATGCTGGACTCGGCCTCCTCAGTTTCCCAGGGACAAACCTCTGCCCTTTTGCTATCCACACTAACTGATTTCTTTGTAGAGCCTTTGGTTGAGTCTCTGTTTTTAGGGCAGGGTTGTACAGAGGATTCTTCCATGTTCAGGCTCTCCCAGGGGCAGATGACCTCCCGCTGACTGCTCCCCTTCTCCATGGTTTTAGAAGGACCTGTTACATTTGTAATGCTCTTGCCCCCATTGGAAGATCTCTCCTTGTCCAGTTTTGTGACTCCTTTCTCAGGAGGAACTTCACTCTCCTCCCAGGGGCATATTTCTGCTCTAACCTTGGAGTCTGCCTCCTCCACTTCCCAGGGACAAACCTCTGCCCTTTTGGTCTCAAGACTCTCTGATTTCCTTGACCCTGCTTTACTCAGAGCAGGGCTTTGTGCCCAGGAGTATGTAGACAATGCCTCCATATCTGTGCTTTCCCATGGGCAGATGGCCTCTTGCTGACTCATTAGCTGCAGTTTTTTAGATGTGGTTCCTCCAGTTTTCCTTGAATCTGGCTTTTTCAGTGTGTCTTTGTGGTCTTCTTTGGTGTCCTCACCTGTGTTCTTTCCAAGTTTCTCCTTACCTGTTAGAGGCTCCCTCCCTTCCCAGGGGCAATTCGTTTTTCCAATGCTGGTATCAACCTCTTCTGTTTCCCAGGGACAAATCTCTGCTCTTTTGCTCTCAACACTCTCTGATTTCTTTGAAGCTGCTTTACTCAGACCAGGACTTTGTCCCTTAAGTTTTGTAGACAATTTCTCCATGTCCAGGCTTTCCCAAGGGCAGATGGCCTCTTGCTCACTGTCCCCCTTCTCTGGCTTTTTCAATGTACTGCCCCCAATCTCCTTTGCCCTGGATGTCTTTGGGGAGATGTCTTTGCTGGTTTTGGAAGTTCCATCTTTATCCTTTTTTAATTTTGCTTTATGTGATTGAACTTCAGATGCTTCCCAGGGGCATATTTCTGCTTGAATGCTGGAGTCCAGCTCTACACTTTCCCAAGGGCAAACCTCTGCCCTTTTGCTCTCAAGGCTTTCTGATTTTTTGGAGGCATCTTCGGACAAGATAGAGTTTCTGGACCCTGGTTTCACTGAAAGTTCGTTCATGTCTATGCTCTCCCAGGGACAGATGGCCTCTCGTTGGTTGCTTAACTTCTCCAGTGCTGTAGAGGAACTTGCTAAGGCTGCTTGTGTTGTGATGCTCTTGTCTTCTTTGAAAGCTCCACCTGTGTCCTGCTTTCTCTCTCTTTCCTCTGATGGACTTTCAACCATCTCCCAGGGGCATATTTCTGCTCTAATACTTGTATCAACCCCTTCCATTTCCCAGGGACAAATTTCTGCCTTCCTGCTCTCAGCACTCTCTGACTTCTTTGAAGGGATTTTAAACTGATGTGTTTTTTTTATGTTGGGATTGATGGTGGAGACCTCTGTGTCTAGGCTGCCCCAGGAGCTGGTTGAGTCTTGAGGGCTGGACCCTTTCTTCTTTTTCAAAGTTATGTCTTCACTTCCCCTAGATCCTTTCTTTTCCCCTTTTGAAGCTCTACCTATCTGCCATTTTAACTTTTTTTTATCTGATGGGGTCTCACTCCCCTCCCAGGGGCATATTTCTGATCTAACCCTGGAGTCCACCTCCTCCATTTCCCAAGGACAAATCTCTGCCCTTTTGCTCTCAATACTCTCCGATTTCCTTGACCCCACCTTATGCAGACCAGGGCTTTGTGCATCATGCTTTGCAGACAATGCCTCCAGGTCCAGGCTCTCCCAAGGGCAGATGACCTCCCGCTGGCTGCTCCCTTTCTCAATGGTTTTAGAGGGACCTCTTGCCTCTGGTGTGATGCTCTTCTCCTCTTTGAAAGGTCTCTCTTTGTCTGGTTTTGTAACTCCTTTCTCAGAAGGAGTCTCACTCTCCTCCCAAGGGCATATTTCTGCTCTAGCCTTGGAGTCTGCCTCCTCCACTTCCCAGGGACAAACCTCTGCCCTTTTGGTCTCAAGACTCTCTGATTTCCTTGACCCTGCTTTACTCAGAGCAGGGCTTTGTGTCTGGGGGCTTGCAGACAATGCCTCCATGTCTGTGCTCTCCCATGGGCAGATAGCTTCTTGCTGGCTCATCAGCTGCAATTTTTTTTCTCTTGGACTCGGCCTTTTCAGTGCGTCTCTGTGGTCCCCTTTAGTGTCCTCACCTGTGTTCTTTCCGAGTTTTCCCTTACCTGTTGGAGACTCCCTCCCTTCCCAGGGGCAATTCATTTTTCTAATGCTGATATTATCCTCCTCCATTTCCCAGGGACAAATCTCTGCTCTTTTGCTCTCAACACTCTCTGATTTCTTTGAAGCTGCGTTACTCAGACCAGGACTTTGCGCTTTAAGTTTTGTACACAATTCCTCCATGTCCAGGCTCTCCCAGGGACAGACAACTTCTTGTTGGCTGCTCCCCTTTTCCAGTCTTGTAGAAGGACCTGCTGGTAGTGGGGTGCTTTTGCTTTCCTTTGAAACCTCACCTTTGTTCTGTCTTAACTTCCCTGGATCTGGTGGAGCCCCAGTCACTTCCCAGGAGCCTATTTCTGCCTGAATGCTGGTTTCAATTTCCTTAGTTTCCCAGGGGCTAACCTCTATCTTCTTGCTCTCCAGCCTATCTGGTTTCTTTAAAGAGGCTTCAGATAGATCTTGGCTTCTAGTACCAGGTTTTAGTGAGGGTTTATCCATGTCCAGGCTCTCCTGGGGGCAGACAGATTCTTGGCTGCTCCCCTTCTCCATTGTTTTGCCTAGACCTGTTGCTGCTTTTTGCATCACGCTTCTGTCCTCTTTGGAAAGCTCTTGTTGTTTTTTTGATGGCATTCCAGCCCCCTCCCAGGGGCATATTTCTGATTTAACACTGGGTTTAGCCTCTGCAGCTGCCCGAGGCTGGGCTTCTGCCTTCTTGCTGCCCACATTTGGATCGATGTTGGACTGATCAGAGATTTTGTTCTTGGGCTTGCTTAGTTTTTCTGGGACTCCATAAGAGTCTGTGGACTCCTGGGGACATGTGATTTCCCACTGGCTTCTCATCTTTTCCAGATTGCTGTCTGTGGTATCTCTTGTGTCTTTCAGACTCCTCCTTTCTGTTCTGACACTCCCTTTACTAGATGCTGATTCATCCTGGGGACCCTCTGGTTTCCCTTTGCTTACCTCTAATGGGCATGTTTCAAACACTTTGCTGGAATTATTGTTTTGCTGGTTTGGGATCGTCTCCTGTTCTTCCCAGGGGCAGATGGTTGCTTGCCTAATGACCATTTTCTGCTGGCTTTCATCGGGCCCTTTGGCTCTGTCATTTTGCTTGGCTGTCTCTCTGATAGCTACTGCTGATGTTTCTACCACTTTGGAATTATCTCTCCTACTGCTTCGGTCTCTGTCTTTCTTTTTCTGGCTCCCCTCTCCCTCCTTCTTTCCCTTAATGCTGCTCTTTGCCTTGGGTCGGTTAAGTGCTTTAATGGCAAGCCCTAAGCTCTTGAAGGAGTTTTTCCGGCACAGAAGTTTCAGATTTTGGGGGGCTGCTGAAGAGGTGCTTGGTTTCTTGGAGTCTCCTGGTTCAGTGGGCTCATCATGTTGATCCTGATTGCAAGCCTCTGCTTCCCAGGGAGATACTTCTGCGGCCACAGAGGGTAGAGTTGTCAGTTTGTTCTTCCCTGTAGTGGATGACATTTGTGCACGGCCTTCTCTCTGCTCACTTCTTCCCTTGTCTGCTATTTCAGCTTTCCTTGGAAGCTTCTCCACCTCCCAGGTGTTGAGGAGCTCTGGGGCCTCTTTTGCATCCTTACTGACAGCATCTGCAGGAGACTGCTTTTGCTCCTGGACGTTCCAGGGAGCTGCCTCGCTCTTCTCAAGGTTGTGAGACAAGCTTTGGTACCTGATGGGCGGCTCTGGCGGTGTCCTCTTGCTGGGAGGGTGCATCCTCCCAGACAAGTGAGAGCTGTCGACGCTGATGCTCTTTATTGGAGCGTATGTGACATGTTTCTGTGACTTGTTCTCTGATACAGGCTCTTCCACCTCCCAGGGGCAAACTTCGGCTTTATCGAAACTGTCTTGTAGGAGGGTGCTCAGAGTCCCTTCTGATACATTCTTGCTCTCTGGCTGCTTTGTGGTCTGGCTGGTAGCCTCCCCACCATCTGTATACCTCAAGCACTGTGTTTCAGGAGTAGAGGCTCCCTCTTCTATCTTCTTCTCTTCTCTAGTTTGTTGGTAGCTGTCTTCCAAATATGCCCGGCTAGGCAGCAGCAGGGCCTTTTCTTTCGCATTGGTGATGACACTGAGAGATTTCTGCAGTGGGGATGGCTTTGGGTGAAGGGGTCTTTTGTCTGCTGACAGGTTGTGAGCACTGGCAGACTTGTAGACCAGGGGGGCTGAGTCAAGGGAGTTACTGTTGGATCTCTCTGAGGCTTTCTTGGCTAGATTTTTCCTCATTAAGGAGTCCAGCAGTGAGGGATCTTTGCAGGTGCTCTCTCTTCTGGGTGGGGAGCTGTCCTTGGGGTCCCGCACATGGTCATAAGTGCTGTGAGACTTCCTCAGAGAGAAGGGTTTGCGCTTTGAGGGATCATCTTTCATCTTCATGCTGGAGCTGCCAGAGTCTAGAAGTCTCCTTTTGTAGGAACCTGAACGACTCCTGCTGCCTCCCGTGAGGGACCCGTCCTTCTCCTCTTTGTGAGACATGGACTCGGGTAACTCGGTGATACGCCTCATGAAGGAACGACCCAAGCCCTTCTTGGAGCTCCTCTTTTTCTGAAGGTGAGGGTTGTTGGCAGTCATCTTCTTTGTCTTGTGGACCTCCAGTTGCGTGTAAAGCTTTTTCAGTTCCTCCTACAGGTTATGTGGATTTAGGGAAGACAGAGCAGAAAGGAGAAAAAAAGGCAACACACATACACAAATATATATATATATTTTAGCTCCTCTTCAATCAAAGGGTAATAATACTGTGGGGTAGGGGTGTCTGTGAAGACTGGGCCAAGCACTCCATCCCAAAGGTCTCAACCGTCTTGAGCTGAGGAACCACCTCTGAAGGCAGTAGACGACCCAGCCCTTTAAATGGGATCTGGGCAGGGGAGGGCAACAAAGTGCTACATTTTTTACACAAATTCCATCAAATGTTGGTCAAAAATTTTATCAAGAGAAAATTTGCATTTTTCAATGGATGGATTTGCATGTTGTTGCTGTTGTTGCCAACAAGGCATGTTTTCATTTTTAAAAAATGCTTGGAAATGAAACCATTCCAGTTTTGGGGCAGAAAACGGGGAGCTGTCTGTCTGATGGCTGCCACAGAGTCTCTTAGGAGTTGTTGGGTTGCCTCATGTCTGTTCTCCCAAGATCCCCTGCAGGCATGCTACAGCCAGGATCCATCCTACCAAGACTATGGTAAGAGGTGGTCTGGGAAATGCGGTCTGACTAGGGAGCTGGGCCTATGGAGGAGACTGGGAATCTGCAGCAGCGTGGTGTCAGGGACAAATTTTGCTTCTGCTGTTTTTGACCAGAACGTTAGAATGTTGTTTTTCAACATGTCAATATTTTCCACAGATAATTGATTCATCTTCTGACTGTCTGTGGTTATAACAGCAGGGATTGCTTTTTTGGAACCTTCTTTACCAGCCCATGACTTGTCCAGCTGCTGACAGGGTGGGCTGACCCAAGGGAGGGCTTGGTATCTTACTCCAGAGAGTAATGCAACTTCCCAAAGTGAGATAATACATTTGATTCAACTCAGGGCTGTGCCATGTTTGCTTCTCCCTTCTCTCCAGCAGGCGTTCTTAAGCCCTGATTTCCAATTGCTTGGCTGAGCTCAACATCACTTTAAGTGATCACATTAGATACCCAAATCCCATTGGAATTCAAGAGGATATTTGAAGTGCCTATGAATATCTCCCTGTCCTCCAAAAGGCATGTCAGCCTCTAGATTATTTTCCCTTGTGATTGGGATTTATATAGAGGGCATCTGCTGTAGCTCTGGATTTCCCACAGGAAAGGAGAAGCTCAGCTGAGGTAGAATATGGCTACCCATTGTAAAAGTCCCATCTGTTTATCCAGGATATGAACCTATTGTTAAAACAACTAATTAAGGAACGAAGGTGCTGGGTCCACATGGCTCCTGATAAAGCCAACCAGACTTAGACCCTGTAGATGCTTTCTGCATCTGAGAATAGATTCCTTGTTACAAACCCCACCAGCTGTAGAGAAAACCTTTTGCTTTTGAACAGATGCAGTGCTGTCTCCCTGAGCAACTGGAGGTCCACAAGACAAAGGCACACATTCCCAAGAGGTCTCCAGACCTGCCCTGCAGCTGTTAGGCATGGAGACAGGCCAATGGGATGCCAAGATTAAACCTCAAGGGAAGTTTGAACTCACCCGGTCCTTGCCCCTGGCTGTTAACTCTGGAGAATAATTAGCCTTACTAATTGCTTCATGACCAACCATTCTGGGACTGCTGATAGAGACTGAGCAGGGTCCCCTCCCCTTCTGCTCTTCCACCCCACCACCGTCTCACCCGAAGGGCCTGTATAACCCTCTCCACCCCTTTGGTTTTGCTTCAGGAGAAAGACTGCAAAAGGCAACTCTTACTCTGCACAGTTCTGTATAGCTATCGTCAAAAGAAGGTCCTGAGTGTGCCACCCACCCGAATGTCATCGGGGTCAAGGCTGTGCTCGCTCCACGCCGATGTGATGCTGCTGTTCAGGTAGGAGCCCGAGCGCCTCATGTCCAGCTCGTCCTCGTAGACTTCCGCTGCGATCTCCTCCCTCAGGGGTGATCCTGCATGCAAGAACTGAGGGCAGAGGTTGGTTATGGGAGCTTGGAGCCCTTGGTAAGCTGGTAGATGGTATTTTCAGAGGGGTCTGAAGGATGGAGGCACACAGATGCCATTATGAGGGGTGGGGGGGCTGGCACCCTTTGGAAGCTCCCATGTCACCTCATAGACTTGCTTTTTTAACCACACAGAGCAGGTGTCCACAAATCAACCCACCATTGATGACCCTTAAGACTTTTCATGGACTCCTACTCCTTACATCCTCAGCCTCAACCTTTTAATTGAAAACACTTTAACAGTGTGCAGGGCTAGTATGAACTACAGACCACTTAGCAGGGCCACTGGTGGCCTATTGACCATGCTTTGGGAACCAGTGATTCCTTTGTTGCAAAGATATTGATAAGGCCAGACCCTGTTCCACTTACGAGGTACTTAAGTCTAATCCTAGCCTGCCTTCCTTAAGTCTCTCAGAAAACCATGAATGCACCAGTTTTGTAACATGCTGCCATTTTAGCTTGAAGACTAAGTCTTCAGAACCTAGCCATGTTTTGCCATAACTTTTCAGGGACTACTGCACCTGGCAGCACAGTTTGGGGAGGAGGTGAGCAGCCAGCAGTAGCAAAAGAGCAGGTTAGGGACTATTTAGAAAAGCTGGATATGTATAAGTCCACGGGGCCAGATGGGATACACCTGAGGGTGCTGAGGGAGTTGGCTGAGGTGATTGCAGAGCCACTGGCCATCATCTTTTAAAACTCATGGTGATCAGGAGAGGTCCTGGACAATTGGAAATGGGCAAATATAGTGCCCATGTTTAAGAAAAGGAAGGAGGATCCAGGGAACTACAGATCAATCAGCCTCACCTCAGTCCCTGGAAAAATCATGGAGCAGATCCTCAAGGAATCCATTTCTAAGCACTTGGAGGAGAAGAAGGTGATTAGGAACAGTCAGGATGGAATCACCAAGTCATGCCTGAACAATCTGATTGCCTTCTGTGATGAGATGACTGGCTCTTTGGATGTGGAGAGACCAGTGGATGTGATATACCTTGAATTTAGCAAGGCTTTTGATACCGTCTCCCACACGTTCTTGCAAGCAATCTAAGGAAGTAAAGTTTGGATGAATGGATTGTAAGGTGGATAGAATACTGGCTGGAACATCAGTCAGAGGGTAGTAGTCAATAGTTCGATGTCTAGTTGGCAGCCGGTATCAAGTGGAGTGCCCCAGGGATTGGTCCTGGGGCTGGTTTTGTTCAATATCTTCATCAATGACCTGGAAGATGGGATAGAGTGCATCCTCAGCAAATTTGCAGATTACACCAAGCCCGGGGGAGTAGTAGATACACTGGAGGGTAGGGCTAGGATTAAGAGAGACTTAGGGAAATTGGAGGATTGGACCAAAAGAAATCTCATGAGGTTCAATAAGGAAAAGTGCACAAAATCCTGCACTTAGGATGGAACAATCCCATGCACCAGTACAGGCTGGGGACTGACTGGCTAAACAGCAGCTCTGCAGAAAAGGACCTGGGGGTTACAGTGGACAATAAGCTGAATATGAGTCAACAGTGCACCTTTGCTGCCAAGAAGGCTAATGGCATACTGGACTGCATTGGTAGCAGTGTTGCCAGCAGATCAAGGGAAGTGATAATTTCCCTCTATTCAGCACTGGTGAGGCCACATCTGGAGTACTGTGTCCAATTTTGGGCCCCACACTACAGAAAGGATTTGGACAAATTGGAGTGAGTCCAGTGGATGGCAACAAAAATGGTGAGGGGGCTGGGGCACATGGCTTCTGAGGAGAGGCTGAGGGGACTGGGCTTATTTAGTCTAGAGAAGAGAAGACCGAGAAGGGATTTAACAGCAGTCTTCAACTACCTGAAGGGTGGTTCCAAAGAGGACGTAGCGAGACTGTTTTTAGTGGTGGCAGATGCCAGAACAAAGAGCAATGGTTTCAAGTTGCAGCAAGGGAAGTTTGGGTTAGATATCAGGAAAAAAACTTTCTCACTAGGAGGATAGTAAAGCACTGGAACAGGTTACCCAGAGGGGTTGTGGAATCTCCATCCTTGGAGGTTTTTAAGACCTGGCTAGACCTCTCCATCCTTGGAGGTTCTTAAGACCTGGTTTTTAAGACCTGGTTCATCCTTGGCTGGGATGATCTAGTTGGTGATGGCCCTGCTTTGAGTAGGGGGTTGGACTAGATGACCTCCTGAGGTCCCTTCCAACCCTCATTTTCTATGATTCTATGACTACAGCACAGTGGAATAGGATCACATGCAGGTGCCAAATCCACTTTGGCATCTAATAAGTGCAGTAGGATCTGGCCTTGGAGTTTTCCCCCCTCACTTAAGTCCCATCCACACACCACTTTGCTTGTGTGCAGAAGTGCTGGCAACTCAAGTTTGTGTGGCCAAACTCTGGGTAATGGGCTAGCACTCATTTGAAGCCTAGCTTGTAAATGTTCATGAATTTCAGCTGTTCAGGAATTCTCTGATGAAGACAGTGTCCTCGACCAATGCTGGTGTGTTGAAACTGTAGTATTTCACAGAACTGTGTCCCTTTCAACAAACTCCTGATGAGATGCAAGCAGGGAGATTGCTCCGATTTCCTACCCACTTACTGAGCAGATAGCTGCATAGCCTGAGCTCTCGAGGTTCATGCATCTGAGGCAATTCAGTTTGCCTTGGAGTTGTGAAATGTAGGGCTTCCAAACTGCTTGCCACACAGGGTGTACCTGGGAGACCCAGCTCCAACCAGCCCTGCTTCCCAGACTGGAAGCCTAGGGAACTCTGAGTCAAGCACTGTAGCTCCATACTCTGAAGTTCTCAGGGCTTCCTCCTCCCTATGAGGCTCATAATGCATCTGCTGCTTAAGCTCCAACTCATTGGGAAATGAACTACACAAAATGTTTCAATTTGGAATAGCTTCAGCTTTTCCTTTTATGTGAGATATTTAAAAATGTATGATGTTTTGCTCCAAAACAGAGCATATTTCTCTCCCCTTTGGAATTTCCTCTGTAACAGTAATTCTGACTCTCAACTACCTCTTAACACAGCTGCCCTGTCCTCTGAGTAGCACCACTCCTGTGCTGCCAGTCCTCCAGGGTCTTCCCACAGTTCCCCTGTGTGCCCAGAAAAGACAGGTTCTCTTACAGTTGACTAGGGAAGAGTTCCTAGAGTGGCTCAGCTTCCTGCAATGCTAAGAAACTGCAGAGTGGTCTTTGCTGCTGTAACCTGCTTCATTCCCTCCAGTGTCAGATTAGGGAGGCAGCAAAAGGATATATCTGCCCTGCTGTTTCCAGCTTCAGCTTCTGCAAAGCATTTGCCCCTTATGGCAGGGCTGTTCCCAGTCTGCAGGGCTCCTGGTGGGCCAGGACTTCTAAAGCAGGTCTTGTTGGTGGGGTAGTGAGGGGGCTGTACCAGTATCCAGGGCTACGGGGCCCCACTGAGTATGGCCATTGGCCTCAGGGGGCCAAATGAGGGCTGTGCCAGCACATCCCCACTTGCTCTGCTGCTGCCTGCCCTGCTGCCACAGTCACAGCCTCCTCTACCACTGGCCTCACTACCATCAGGTCCAGACCTGGCCCATGGGGAACCCTGCAGTCCAGGTCCAGCCCAGGAGACAGGGTGAGTTTGACACTTGGCTGGGGTCATCTGACCTCGGTCCTCTTTCCTGCTGGGGGCAGAGGGTTGGACATGATGATCTGTTGTGGTCCCTTCCGACTCTACAATCTATGAATCTATGAAACCCTGCCTTACAGGAAAGTATGTTCACAAGGAGCAGGCAGCTGTAAAGGGTGAGGTTATAAAGGATGAGGATTAGAGGGAACCCACCCCAGTGGGAGAAAGGTGAAAAAGCAGCATTGTTTTTTTCAGCCTCTACAGGAGAAACACTGTAGGAAGGAGGCCAGCATAGGGGCTGGGGAGCACACAGGAGGTTACCTTCGGGATGAAGAGCAGTGCCAGCGTCATGGTGATCGTGACATGAGTGTGGATGAAGAACAGCAGCAGCGTCCAGTCGGGGTGCAGGGAAGGGACCATGACAAACCTAAAGAGGGACCAGGGAGAGGCCATCATTTCCTGTTTCCTCCCTAACGCTTCAGACAGTAGACTCCTACCTGCAGTAGGTGCTATGCAGCAAAAGGACTAAATCCCAAACCAGCTGCAGTCAAGGGAAAGAGACTGGGACTCTTTCTATTTGATCAGGACTTCAATGAGGCACAAAAAAAAGCTTTGGGTCTGATTCCCTGTCAATCTCCACCTTGTGCAGTCATAGAAACTGGGGCCCGACACTGTGATGCCAATCTGCTAGTGGTTTCTCATGCCCCTTGCCAGTATATAAATGCAAGCTATACAACAGTGGTGAATTGGACCCAGACATTGAAATCTGGATATTCAGTCCCTGGAGTAACTTGTCACTGTGGTCGTATTAGTTGGCACCCTGACTCCCCACCAAAGTCCCATACATTTGTATACAAATCACTTGGGCAAATTCATTGTCTGATAAGGTGTAACGAGTCATTTCCAAATGTGCATGCCTACTAGATCTCAAGAAAACTTAAGCCTAATAATTAGTTGGCTTAAAGGGTCCTGACCAGCTGATGCTTGCAAAGCACTGGATACTCTGTGGCTCTTCTTGGCTCAACAAGACATAGATGATCAACTGTTCAGTGTTGCACAATTGTCTTTTGTGTTGGCAGTAAGTGCAGATCAGAGTGCAAAGAAGTCTTTGATTATTTTTCCCCCTCATAATCATGTCATACTTATATGGTGAACAATTTGCATTTTTTAACCCCAAAATTGCACACTATGTATTATCTACAGAGTCAGACCATTCTTATATATAGGGAGCCAGAATGGGTACAGTTTGCATTTGGAATTTTTGTAATATATTCTTTTCTTTATTACAAATACTTTATTGTAATTTTTTTCTGTCCTGATACAGCATGCAAAAGACATTGCATGAACAGCTGGAAGTGACTGAGTACTGATAATTAATCACCCATAGATAATAAGTCACCATTCCAATCCCCTTTAAAGTGATGAATTAACCAGATTTTACTGTATGGGTATTTCTTTCTCATGAACTGGAAACTGATTAATGAATATTGGGACAAGTCCTAAAGCTCCTCATCAACTGCTACTCAGCCCAGCTCCCATTGCAAATGGTCCCACATCTGCTCCTGTGGAACTCTAACCTCTGGCCCTGGAATGGCAGCCGGTGGGTGCAGGCACATCTACTCCAGGACACTGGAGTAGATGGATCTCAGGTTCTGATCTGGCCTGATTTCCTATGTTCAGTGGGCCTGATTCTTTCTTATGTGAATCAGAACTAACTCCAGTAAACCAGTGGTATTACACTGAGGAAGTGCAACAGTGAGGTGAGAATGAATCCCAGTCAGAGTTCTATCCAATTCAAAAGCAAAATGAGTGAAGTCAGCAGGATCGGGTGTGTTTAATTAATGTATTGTCAGGCTCCTTCACTGGGCAGAGCTGGGACAGCCAATCCAGTCTGGGCAATGCCCCCAAAATGAAGACAACCCCCTCCCCAGCCTGTGCTTACTCTCCTGCTGATCTGCATGTGTGTATACTCAGCAGAGATTAATATCAAGGGCTTTTCATCAGTAGGTTTCAGAGTGCTTTAGAAGTGAAACTGAATCACTGCCTCTGTTTTTCAGATGGGGAAACTGAAGCACAGAGGTGGGAAGTGGGTGTTTGAACTTGCTCACGTGGCCAGTAGCATAACTGGAAATAGATAACCTGCCTCCTGAGCCCCAACCAGTACTGTACCAGAAAGCCACGGTGCCTGTCTTCTGTAGATAAGAATCCTCTCAGAACCTCTCCCCGTGTAGTGCACAAAGAAGCAAAGTGACTTGCTCATGATCAGTTGGTGATGCCTGGGGACCTCCATTCCCTTTTTCTACCCACAGGAGAGCCTCTTTTTGCTGAGGATAGAACCAAGATAGGCTGTACAGGAGGGATAGGACAGGGAGGAAAGGTTGGGGTGTGCTGCTCTATGTCAAAGAACAATTCACATCCTCAACAAGCAACACTGGGTCAGAGGAGGGGCAGACTGAGGTGCTCTGGATAAGAATACAAGGGGGTCAGGGGGAAAGGGACTCAATGGTGGGGGTCTACCACAGGCCACCCAACCAGGGGGAAGAGCTGGACCGGGAATTCTCAGGTCAGCTTGCAGAGGCAGTTAAGTCAAAGGGGTGGTCATCATGGGTGACCTAAACTATCCAGACATCTGCTGGGAAGAGCAGTCAGCCAGATCTGACTGCTCACATAGGTTCTTAGCTGAGTTACAGCACCTCCATCTAACCTAGGAGGTACACAGTCCCACCAGGGGTAATGCCTTGTTGGACCTGTTCCTGGCCATGGGCAACAACCTGGTGAGTGGACTGCAGGTGCTCGGTCACCTGGGCGATAGCGATCATCGCCTGCTGGAATTCACCATCCAGCGCAGGGTGGCAAAGGCCTGCAGCAAGACAGCAGCCCTGGACTTCAGGAGGGCGGATTTCATTGAGCTAAGAAGACTAGTCAGGGAAGCACTGAGGGCCTGGAGGGGTGGGGAGTTGGGAGTCCAAGAAGAGTGGTCGTTCCTGAAGGAGACAATCCTCCAAGCCCAAAGGGTGGCAATCCCAACACGGATCAAAGGGGGCAGCAGTGCTCAAAAGCCCCCATGGCTCACCAAAAGCATCCAGAAATGTCTCAAAGCTAAGAAGGAGGTGTACACCCAACGGAAGGGAGGGGCCATCACCAAGGAGGACTATACCTCCGTTGCTTGGGATTGTAGGGGGCGGTCAGGAAGGCCAAGGCGGAGATGGAACTGGGACTAGCAACCCAGATCAAGGGTAACAAGAAATCCTTTTTTTAAATACATAGGGGGTAAAAAGAAGGTACCGAGTAATGTGGGGCCTCTGCAGGACACGCTGGGAAATCTGGTGGTCTCACCAGATGACAAAGCTAACCTATTTAACAATTTTTTGCCTCCATTTTTCTGAGCAGGGACCAGGTCATCCCCCACACTGGGATTCCCAATGGTTCCAGGGGAGGCGCTGCCAGGTGCAAGGTCAGAGAGGACCTAGTCAGGGAACTTCTCATGGAACTCGATGTGTTAAAATCAGCAGGTCCTGATGATCTCCACCCCAGAGTGCTGAGGGAACTGGCACAGGTCATTGCAG